TTCACCATAGAATATGGTGTTATTTCCTCTCTTACAATTGGAAAGAAAGGAAATACACCTGAAGTCTTAGAGAAAATAGAGATAAGGAATAAAAATAATAATACAAATGGTTGAATATTTGTGAAACAATTGGACCAGATGCAGTCATTGAAAAAGCCTTAAAGAAACTAGGGTAGAATAGGAGAAAGGTATATATTTTTTTAAAATATCACAGCCTATTAAGATGAATGGAAAGCAGCAAATTTTTCAGGTTTTTTAAAAATGTCAGATTGTGATCTTTAGAATTGCAGGCTTGAAATACTGATAGGAAAAACACTGGATAAAGAAAGAACATTTCAGAGAAATCTACAGAGATTTAGCAGCCGGGCAGATGATTCACGAATGACATTTAATATTGAGAAATATAAAGGTGTTGTTTGTGGCAACTAGGGTTGCAAAGTGAAAGAGATGAAAGTTATCATACATCATATATGATACCAAATCTTATTTAGTGATATACAATATCAAATAATATCATATATCATGAAATAAGGTTGATCACATTTAGTATTAGTATAAGGGTAAATTTCCAAAGACAAACAAGGAATATAGACAGAACCACAGAAATGTACACTACAGAATGCATAATGTACATTCAGCGCATCATTTCATGTCAGTATATTCTTCTCAAAGAGGCCATCCATCCTAAACCCAATTTTCTGCTCTTTTTCCATTCCCATTGATACCTTTCTTCTACATGTACTTGTCCAATTCTTTCTTAAATGCCCTATGTTATACGTTACCAAGCATCAATGAAGCACCATTATGGCCACTACATAAAAGTACCATTGTGCCGTGTTACAGAGCACCATAAAGACAGCACAAAGGCATCAGAGAGGGACAAAAAGATGACTGAGATTAGATTATGAAATTACACATAAATAGTCACAAAGTAAAATCTGTTTTTAATTCAGACCTGGAGATTATGGTCATCAGTATGAAAGTTTTTTTGAAATAATGATGTGAGATAAATTGAATGTAGAAAGCGGTTTCATAGCAAAGCAAGAATAGAAGAGCCAGCAGACAGGCTTGTTAAACAGAGAAAGTCAACAGCTAAAAGTAAAAAAATGAATAATTTCCCAATGTGTACAGCCATGGATATATGGAACAAACGGTCATGTACGGAGCAGTGAATTACATTACTGACTCATTCAGTATTGAAGCATTCTGAAGGGAATTGAATCAATTTCTCCTTCAGCAAAAATCAGGGGAATATGTGCTATGAAAATAATTAAAAAGGTCAGATTGAGCCTGAACTGTAGAGTAAATTGATTGAGCCATTTGCTTTCATGCCATTTTCAGAATATATTACTCAGTGAAAACTGGTACAAAACCTAATAATTGATTACAAAATAATTAACAACATGTTCACAAGCCTGATATAGCAATGGAGACAATTCCTTATAGAACACAAATCCCCTTTCACCCAGCAAGTTGTTCGGATCTGGAATGCATTACCTGAAAGGGTAGTGGACGCCGATTCAATCACAACTTTTAAGAGAGAAGTAGATGGGTATTTGGGGAGGACAGGATTGCAGGGCTATGGAGAGAAAGCGGACCAGTGGGATTGAGTTGGATTGCTCTTTTCGGCGCTGGCGCAGATACGATGGGCCGGATGGCCTCTTTCTATGTTGTATGATTCTATGATTCTATGATTCATATACTTTACACAAATTATTTTGAATTAAGTCATTTGCAAAGTATGTCCTATTTGGTGGTGTTGTCACAAAAACAACGTTCAGTGGGCACCTCAGTTCAGTCAGCTCACTACTGAAACCACTTTTTATAGTCGATTCCTATTTGCATATGAAATGGGTAGTGATCAAAATCCCTAACTCACTTAGAAGAGCAAAATACTCACACTACTGATTGCCCTCAACAGTGATTTCCCACTGCAAATCTCAAATTGAAAACGATAAGTCAGCCATTTTAGTGGAATAGATTTAGACCACAACACTGCTGCCTCCAGTCAAACCTTTCACTGCATAAATCAAAAGGGTGTACTTTCACAGTGCAGTGTCAATAAAACACAGTATCCTCTAGGAATGTATTGTACTGGAAAGACCATTGGGTCAATCTGACCAGTTCTAAAATAAAATTCAGAAAATATGAAATATCCTACAATTCTCATTCAATTGAATTCTAAATAACTGTCTAATTCCCTCTTCAATTTACACGCCTGTAAATAATCTCTCAAGAAAAATAAAATAATAAAATTGGTCACTTCAATCCACGACTGTTTGTGGGACACTGCTGTGCACAATTGGCTGCCGGGTTTTGCCCACAAATATACAGTCAATTCACTGTACAGTCTATTCTGTGAAGCACTTTGAGACGTCTAGAAGACGTGAAAAGCACTATATCAAATGCAAGGTTTATTAATTTGATGACCTACCGGAGTAAAAGCCGTTCAATGTAACTGTCCCTCTGCAATACATAATTAAAATGTAAACCATAAATAAGATCAGAGAACCAATTGATCAGGTTATTTATGGTGCACAGACACTAGGCTTCTCCACACCAGCCTTCGCTCCTCCTAATTCCCACTCCTGTATGCCTCTATTCCCTTCTCCCTCATATATGAATCAAGTTTCCTCTTCAATTCGTCGATTAGTACTTCTAAATAAATATGAATCATTTAACATTTTCTGAAGTAATCAGGTTGTGCTGGAAATAGAACCAGGGCTCCACACCATGTGTTTTCCCAGCCTTCTGACTATGAAAAGCAGCAGATGTGTTTGACTAAACAAACACTGTACTAATCCCAAGAGTTTTTTCATGCATTTTCTATTTAGACAGTGATGACTTTTCTTCACTTCAACACGTTGACTTGTCTTTACCTTTCGCTATGTTTAAAGCATCACATTCCATGTGGAAAAGGTTAGGATCTGTGATATTATGCAAACAAAGTGAAAACTAAAAGAGTTAATTTTAAACATAACTCACTGGCTGTCAAACAACATTATGTAGATTAACTCTGCATTCTGCTCTTTTTAGGGCACTGAATATTTATTTAAACCTCTCATCCGTACAATTCTCCTTCATGTCTGCTAAATCCTCTTGCAATCAATTAATCTCTATATTTGTAGATTAAAGTCGATGGAGATCATACCATGGCAGAGCCTGGGTCAGAATGTAGTATAACTTCTCAATCGTTTACTTGATTCTCCAACAGAAATGCTCATAACCCCAATTGCTCACTGGAACAGAATGAATTCTGTTTATCTGGAGATCATCCTTCTCTGATAGTGGATTTTCAGTCAATCAGTCAGCAAAGGCGAAGCAAACGTTTGAATATGCTGAATAAAATGATTAATGACTTAGTAGGAATTAACTTGGATAAAAATTATGCAAGCTTCACAGTTTTAGTGTTGATCTTCTCGACTGCCCTTAGTTTAAGGGGAGAACAGAAGAAAGAATATGAGTGTGTTAGAAGACTGTAATCCTGGAAAGAACTGAATTCAGGTAATATCATGAAGCTGGAAAGTGAAAGCTTGAACGGTTGAGACCGGCACCTGAACCCTGTATAAAAACATAATTCACTCTCTATAAATATTTGTAAATGTCTGGGTGTGCTGTACAGGGAGAGGGTAAATTTACCAAGAAGCAGAGACCATGACTGGAATCAGCAGGAGTGAGCCAGAGACATGGCCCCTTACTCCAGGGGAATCAGCTGTTACTATTGTACCCTATTGAGAAGACAATGACGCATCTGTTACTTTCCCTGTGCATCTGGGACCAAATAACTTAGAGGAGGGGGTTGTTTGCTGGTGTGGTTTGGGGGGAGGTAGCTCTGTCTTATTGGATGTTGAAATATCAAATGCTTTGTTCACGCTCGGTCTGTATTATTGTGCTTTTTGTTTGGCAATCCTTTCAAAAATCACGAGATCCAAATGACTGCTTGCCAAAGGTCAGGTTTGTAGATGTTGGAAACAGTCGTCAGATTAAACTCAATAAGATCAATGCATCCTGGCAAAAGCAATTCATTGACAAGCTTTTTCTTGCATTTCATTATGTTACTTGTTATTTTTAGCAACGATACTTTAATAATCATTTTTGATTCTCCTAACTGGCAGCAGGGCTTTTAAGACTAGTTAGTGGTCCTTTGTAACCATTCTATATAAAAGTACGTAGCTAAGTAGTTGATTCTTCGTATGGCCAGTCCCAAAACCTGGGACCTCAGGGGAAAACAAAACATTTTTTAATCCTGGTCACATTTCTCTTTTGAGATCTAACAGATAACCCTTCACTTGTGTATTTTGTGCATTAATGTAGATGTGAAACTGTACCAAGTCCTGCCAAAACCTATTTCACACGGCTCTTCAAAATAGAATCATATCATGATGAGCCATTTGTTTCCCATGATAGAGCGAGTAAAATGCATGTGCTGTATGAATTACAATGAGCTGAAACTCTCCAATTCTCTTTCTTTTTACAATCACAGTGTTCGTTCTCTCAAACTCAATGACAACAAATCCTTGGAATAGTAATATTGACTTGCGAATACATCCTGTGTATTTGCAAAGCCCCCCCACCCACAAAAAAAATACAATATACAATGTACAGCTTAGTCAATGTGCTACACAAATTCACAAGTAAGGTGTATTATATTTGAAAAACTTATCTGAACAGCACTTTAAGGACTTTCAACGGATCATGGAAGAATAGTGACAAAACGTTGCGTAGGTCAAAAAAAACCTTTGAAATACCAGCAAAAACTTACCAAGTCATCAAAAATATTTTGTCCATCCCACACCTGTCACTTTGCACCGTACCATTCAATTATTTCATGAGCTGTTTTCGCTTTTTAAAAATAAACTGAAGAAAATTTCCTGAAATACTTTTTAGTACATTAAAAAGGTACAAAACATAAAAACAGTAAAAACAGCAGAAAGAGGTTTGCTCAGAGAGGCCACAGTTGCGAGTCTTTCTGGTGAGTTAAGTGCAGGCGGTGTGCAGGTTCAGGAGCCGGTCAGTTTGTCGAGGATGTAGTGTATTTTACATGTTATCCATTGTCTGAGTGGACAGTAGTATTCGGAGTGAAACTGTTCAAACTCTGGTGTCTGACGGATTTCCCTCAGGAAAGAGGCATCAATGTCGGATTCCAGCAGAACCAACAGGAGAGGGACAGCGAACAGCATTAAGCCCAAACCCACCAGGAGGAGTTTGGCAAAGCTCTTTGCCAGAGCATTCAGCTGGTTGTTGCCAGTCAATAACTTATAGCTTTTGGTGAGAACTTGCCTGACTTCATTCAGTTCTTCCTCCTCTGCAATCAGGAACGCGGTTTCGTCCACATCCAACTCATCGTAGAAGTCCGCTTCCTCTCTCTCAGGGCCCTGTGGGTGACGGTTAAAAAACATGTCGATCCCACCATCCTCTACAGGAGTAGGTAGGACGCTGATGCTTGGATCGTAAACTAGTTCTGATATGGTCAGGGTTTCCTCACTGCTCCTCTCTTCGTTTGCACGTTTGGCCTCACGTGCCTCTTGCACCTCGCTCTGTGACCCTCTCTCAGACTCAGACGTGAGCTGATCATTGTCCCTCAAAGTCATGGCACCTGAAACAGACAAGAAAGAAAATTCAAGTATTTGGATTGATGCCTCTTTGCCACCTTCTTCAATGATAATTGGTTACTTTAAGTTAGGTCTTTCAATTATGAAATGGATGCGAAAGCCCAGAATCAGCCTTTTTACTCTTCTCTAAACTCTCTCCGTTACACCAGTCCTCTTTTGGAAATTGCACAAACATTACTTTCCTCAGAAAATGGTGATTATGTGTTATGATACTAGAGGCAGATTGTGTCAGAGAATTAGAGGTAATGGATAGCTGTCCGGAAAATAAATGTAAGTTGCTGTTGTTGCTGTAAAACAAAATCACCATGCTTAAGATTATCCAAGCCAGATAGAGTTCTACACCACTTGACCTATTGCATTGCCTACTGAGCCATCATGCAAGCCAGTTTCAGTTGCTTTGCGTTACTCCCTGAAAATATATAAATTCAGTCACTGAAAATATATAAATTTTGGCAAAGGTACTATTAACAGTTACTAGGTTCAGCTTTCTAATTAATCTTCCTCACTTATAACTGTGGGTAATTAATCTTGATAAATCCTCTTTTTATTGTAACTGGAACAGATATTCTGGCCTATTAACTCTTAACATTCTCAGTCTGCAAACCCTGGAACTATGAAATGTTTGGAGCATGATATCCTATTGCATTCTGAGCAAGTAAAGTTTGTTTCTGCTACAGCCAAATTATATACAACCCTCAGACAACTTGAGACTCACACAGAATGCATAACTGCAAGGCTTTTTAGTGGAACAATCTTTCAAAAATCTTTTCCTTTATTTTGAACAGTTTGCTATTATTTCTTCCCAGACAATATTAACTTCCTCTAGCTCAAAGTTATTTTACGCATTGCAAACATCTAAAGCACCTCTACCACACAGAAGTGTCCTTCAAGGGATTAGTTTGCATTCATTTTGCCTTTTAATCCTTTTGGAGCTGCTTGTTCGTAAAGACTTTTCTTATCTTTATAAAATGCCACCTACAGCTCAGCTCTTGTTTTTTAAATGTCACTTGGCTTCCATTTGTCTGCTGCTTTGACTTAAGTATTCTCACCTTTGTTCAACAAATTGTAGATTAACATTCATCTCAGGCTATTCTAGCCCTGGCTGTGTTTTTTTAATATAAAAGTTACAAAAGTCATTTTACATATCCCTGAGTAGAGGGTCAGAAGTTGCTAACAGCCTCATTAAGATTCTATGATTTTTTTATTTTCCTGTGTATCTCCTAAAAACTAGAGAGGAACTATTTTCTTCACTGTTATTATCCCCAATACAATTCTTGCAAACCCACACAAAGAGCAGTATTTATTTCTATTTAGCAGCTTTTAACACAAAGACAAAACTGTGCAGTAGCATTGAATAAAACAAACAATTTCATTTCCTTAACACATAAAAGTGCCCAATTTTGCCATGGGTATTTCTTTTCTTTCCCCTCTCTTGGTCGCCTGTTTCTCACATGATCCTGCAACTAAGCTGATGGGCAGGTGTGCCCTGTTCCAATGACTTTGCCAATCCACAGCTAACTACTAGATGGTGTGTGAGAGCAGAGTACTGCAAAGTTATATTTATATAGCGCCTTTCATATCGGGAGGACGTCCCAAGGTCCTGGACAGTCATTGTTTTGGACCCGAATTAAAGGTCAGGATCAGGGAGGGTGGAGGGCGGGGGGAAAGGTGGTTGATCGAAAGCACAGTCGAAGAGGAGGGTCTTGAGATTGGTCTTGAAGGAAGCAAGGGAGGGGGCGAGGCGGAAAGGACTGCGGGATGGAGTTCCAGAGGGTGGGGCAGAGTGGTTTTGCCCACTGTAACACTCTGGGCCACGTGATTTTTATTTCTTCTTGATCACTGGCTCTCTCAAAATCTGACCAATGCAGTTGGTACTGCTTTTCCTGCTTCAAAATGCTTCCAAGGGGACAAATGTAAGCCAATAGGTGATATTATAATAATAATAATCCTTGCATTTGATATAGCACTTTTTATGTCTTCTAGATGTCTCAAAGCGCTTCACAGATTATACTGTAAAGTGAATTGACTGTGTATTTTATGGGCGAAATGCAGCAGCCAATTGCGCACAGCAGTGTCCCACAAACAATTGTGAATTAAGTGACCAAATTATTATTTTTTTCTTTTTTTTGAGGGATTATTATCAGGCATGTGGAGTAAGGAAACTTGCCAAAGGTTTCGCCCTTAGTACCACAGAGGAAACAAATAAAACAGGAGCAATCCATCTCTCCATTTATCTCCAGGAAATTAGCTACTCAATCTCAACTGACAAACCTCCAACTCTCTCGTGGGCAATCCAACACTCAGCATGTAAATAATAATAATGATACTTGCATTTTGATATAGTGCCTTATCAAGTCTTCGACATGACTCAAAGCACTTCACAGAATATACTGTAAAGTGAATTGACTGTATATTTTGTGTAAAAAAACGCGGCAGCCAATTGCACACAACAGTGTCCCACAAACAGTCGTGGATTGAAGTGACTAATTTATTGATTTTTTTCAAGGAATTATTACCCCCGCAAAAGCGATCCGTCAATCGACTAACAACCGAGTCTCTATTTACTGCTAGGTAAACAGAGACATGTGGATTAAGGAAACTCGCCCAACATTTTGCCATGCCGGGAATCAAATCCAGGTCTCTTCCTTGCAAGGCAAGTGCTCTAACACCAAAGCTGTATCATCCCGCCTACTTTTAGCAGGTTTGACCCCACAAAATCCCTCAAAAGGACATAGATAATTCTAACTTATTACGCATTTGTCACAATATATGTTAAAAAAATGCCTGACAAATTGCAAACCGGTGTTGCTTGGCATTTACTGCAGATACAAATACTGGTCTGTGCATAGTATTCCAAGAAACAAAGTAGCTTTAGTTAGCTTCCCCCCATCATCCAGGTGCACCATTTCAATCTATAATCCTGAACTATCCATGCCAATGATTTTTAAAAACCTGCTTATTTTAACAAAAATTTTCTCATCTCCTAAACATCCACAAATTGGTGCTTATTTTTAGATACCTTCACAACAGCAGGGGTTAATATTTTAAAAGAATAAAAGGCTTGCCATTAATGCAGCGAGAATGCGTTCCTTTGTCACAACAGATAAGGGAATTCACTGATGTGTTTGGAGATAGTGTGGCTGTGTTTCACCCAGTGTAATAATGTCCTCCAATCATCTCGCTCGTTTATTTCTTTAATCTCTGATAAGAATCAAAGTTTTATCCACTCTGTGATAATCGGGCACCACTGCCTCCATTATATCATTAATTCCTGTATCATGTTCTAAACTACCACTGTTACAGGTTATGAATCCCTTTCACATTATTCCTATGACACACAGTGAGGAATAATGTGAAAGGAAACCGCTCATTCAGTTTAACTAGTCCATGTATCCCACACAAGCCCCACCCCTCCTATTCCCCTTTAGTCTGTTCTCCCTCTTGTATGTATCATTTTGATTGAGATACATTGATGCTTTTGATATCAAATAATAATTATAACAATCCTTATATGAAATATATCGCCTTTCACATGGGGAGGACTTCTCAAAGCACATCACAGGATATACTGTAAATAATAATTATATAATAATAATAATCCTTGCATTTGATATAGCACCTAATCATGTCTTTGAGATGTCTCAAAGTGCTTCACAGAATATCCTGTTAAGTGAATTGATTGTATATTTTGTGGGCGAAACACGGCAGCCAATTGCGCACAGCAGTGTCCCACAAGCAGTCATGGATTAAGTGACCAATTTATTATTATTAATGACCAGTTTTATTTGTGGAATTGTTGGCCAGGACACCGAATAGACTTTTCAAATAGTGCCATGAGATCTTTAACATCCATCCGAACATGCAAACAGGACCTTGGTTTGACATCTCATACAAAGGAAGGTAACTTTTGACAATTCACCACTGCTTTAGAGTGACAGTCTGGGTTATATGAGTTCCAAGTCTCAACTTGGGGCTTGAACACACAACCTTTTGACTCAGAGGCAGAAGGGCTACCAACCACAGCAATGAATTCCACATTTTAATCACCATCCTCTGTGTGAAGAAGTTCTCCTAAACTCCCTATTAAATCTCCTGCTACCAATCTTAGATGTACCTTTTAAAATCTTAAATATCCCCCAAAATGGAAAGGATGTGTTTACATGGAATGAAGTACAAATACACAGACTCAATAATTTTTAATATAGTCAACAAAAATACCAGCCAGCTCATGAAAGGAGGCAAGCACCTGATTTCCCCGACTAACAGAATGGACCTCCAGGTTTATTTATATTAACCTGGGGAATTTTTCCACCAAATCAAAAATGTATCAAAAGGAAACATTCATGCAGAAACTCAGTTATTATTAAAGAAATGAGACATTACCGATTCCCCTGGCTATGACCTTTGGTCCATGCTTCAATAATCAAATGTACATATCTGTGGAGCAGTGGTTCACCATACAGAGATGAAGGCTGCTCCTGGTAGGGACTTTCAATCGGCCTTTCACCATGATCATCCTTCAGTACTTCAGTCCACAGGCCTAGATGGCAAACATTTTGTCCCCAGTCAAGAAGCCTCACAGTCTCTGCCAGCCAACTCCAACAACAGGGCAAGAAAAGATCCCAGTGTATCCACTGATTGTGAACTCTCTGACCAAGTACTGGGCACAAGGGAAATGATGGCTTTCATTCCAGAGTTATTTATAAAGCACTTGCCATGATCGGAGCTGAAATCCTGTACCAAACACGATTTAGAATAAATACTATTACATTTTCTTTGTCTTTGATCTTTGAATGACTGTTCAATATTATTTGTTTTCTTTATTTATTCCCCCCTGGCTCATTCATCCCGTAACCTGCTCACTGACTGTGACTACACTCTGACCCAGTCACCAGGTAATGTTTGAGAGTTGCCTGGGGAAATATTTTCCTACACAGTGAAGAGAAACTCTTAGCTCCAGGTATCACCATTGCAGTAAAGTTCA